TGTCAAACGGATCCCAAACTCAATCTCTTCATATCCACTAACTTTGCCATACCTTCGGAGATGGCATTGGCTTTCGCTTTGGATTTCGATCCAATCATTATCGCCAGAATCAACAAAATGTGAGCCATATATTGAGTATTAATAATTTAATTAATTAATATATAATAAATAATTTAATTAGTGAAACAATAATTTAATTTGTGAACAGAATTATGAATGTGAGAGGAATGGCAATCATTGACTTATGGCAGAGACGGGCCGTTAGAGAGCTGGTCAGGCATATGGAGGGCAAAGTGAAGCATTGCTTTTATTCGGCCTTCACCTACAATAACAATATACCGGACACTATTGGCCTCATTGAGGATGTGGTGCCATTATTCACCGTGTTCATTTACGCCATTGTCTTATCATTACTAGTCTTGTTGTTGGAAATTGCTTTGAAATCATTTCCATTGAGTTGTGGTATTAAATATGGCATTAATTACAATAAATGTGCGGACAATCGGAAATGTAAGCGAAGACACAAAATGTTGAATTTAAATAAAAGTTATGTCCAAAATCCTTATTATTGGTAACTATTGATACATACATATTGTATTATAATTTTATGTATAGTTATAAAGTGTGACTAATTAACCATAATCTTAATATATCCAATATCATACAAATTATAAATGAACTTATATTTTAGTATACATTCACTAAATGCATTGTAAATTGTAATACAATCTAATAAAATTCACTGCAAATTATAAATCAATTTGTAACTAATGTTTATTAGAAAAACGAAACGAAAACATCAAATAATAAAATACAATCCAAATGCTTATAATTTAAATGTTATATAATTTGTTAATTAACTATTGTTTAATTGCAAAACTCAGACATATATAATGTGTATGACTTTAAATGACGGTATATATGAAAATTTGATTAAAATACGATCAATAAAAATGGTAATCAAAATCAAAAACCCAAACTTTAGTAATCTTCGGGCAGTTATCACATCCAAAAACCTGTATATCTCGCGGTCGGTTTGCGGGCTCTTTTAGGCCTCTCATGCAAGCCATCACTCGTGGATCCGTTCTCTTCATTGTTGTCTTCAGTATTGTTCCCATTATAGTCTTCAACAGTGGATGGGATGTCGTTCTGAGCAATAGATTGGTCCCAATCGTTGTCCATATGATGTGATCCATTGGCCACCCATCTCACTGTCTTCTTGGCACGATTTCCCGGCGCTCTGTTGTCCATAGGATTGATACAAACGTTTGCAATCATTACATAATAAACAACAATACGAGACAAACCTTTGCAAACGACTGGTGACCAAAATGGATGGACTGGATATGGCGGGCGCCGAGTGGTCGTCATTGAGCTCTTCGGTCTGACAGCCAATTGAATGCCGGGTGTCTTGAGTGCTGAAACACAAACCAAACGGTGGTCTCAACAAAAATAAGTGACAAAAATGGGTATAAATTGTCAACAATGAGGCCATTGGAGACACGAACCGACGGCCAGACGGAGGCGGCGAAGACTGACAATACACTGACTCACGGCTACCGCGGAGGCGGCGGACGACCAGCACTTCGTCCGATTTGATGATCCGTACGGAGAGATAGTCGTCGACAACGATATCGTCGATGAGTACATCGATGTCGTCGTCGATGGCGAGCCTCTGACGGATGTATGTCTTGAGGTCTTTGAAGTCAAACAACCGGTCTTTGGGTTCAATGGCCAAAAACCGGGTGGCCTTCGGCGGCGGTCGCGGCTGACGGCCATCACTGCCATCGATGGCCACTTTGAAGCGTACGATCGACGACACCGTCGATGGCGGCGACGACAGCGAAGAGGACGACATCATGTCTTCGGACACTTCCCGAGTGGACGACAAGCGATAGTTTTGGCCACAAATCGGACGGCAATTGGGTTTTGAATACAACAAAACTTTTGGTTTACTTTTTTTGGTGACAAAAACGGGTCAACACTTTGCCTACAATTCACGTCTCATTCGTATACAACGTTACGATCGCTACAAATGGGGGCAAACATTGGCTGCGATATGAATGGTAAAAGATTTTGGAGTTTGCAGTGATTTGGGCCTTAATTTTGAGATTATATTCACAATTAACTGTATTTTAATTAATTAATGGTTTAATGTGTAACAACTTTTATCAATTAAATTAAAATATATTAATGTTTTATATTATTTATTAATTTTAAAGTTTATCGGTTAAAAAGTTGATACAGGGGTCGACGGATGTGCGTCTTGTGGTCTTTGAAGTCAAACAACCGGTCTTTGAATTCAATGACCAAAATGTTGGTCGGCGTCCGAACCAAATCCAATGGCTTAGCCCCACCGGGGGGTCGAGGGGGTCCACTAACCCGCCCGCCACCACAAACAGCACACCAACCCTCAGACCGGGTGGACTGTCCCGACTCCCAGCACCGCATGACCAGTGATGACGTGGACTATGCGGACTCCCAACACCCCTGTC